CATCTCATTGACAATAAAGCACCAATCATGACGGACAAACGGGATTTTACTCCCTTTTAAGGGGAGTGGTCGAATCAGAGTTTAGCTGGTCTCATACAAACAAACTTCGACTGTAGCTTTAATGAAGATGTGAGTTTTTAAGACTGCCTTAATGGATTTGTGTTGGCGTATATTTCTTTTCTTGTGAACAGGTGTCTAGTAGGAGTTAAGTGTGGATTTTGGCAGAAAAGACCTCAGCACATTGTCCCACCACCCCGTTGATTCCGTGTGGAGCTTTCGTCTTTCCCGCCATGGCAGATATCGACAGAGCACAAAGCTAGGCCTTATGCAAATTCACCCGGCACTGAGGCAAGAAGGATGGCCTATTGCACTCCTGCCTACTTCGGGTAGACTGATTTCGTCCATTTAATCCCAAAGTGGACTGTGCAAGATTAGATCGTAGAAGAACAATATACAAGATTATGAGATGTATTCACTCTATTTCTTTTAAGTTGATGAAGAGTTGGTATTAGAAATTTTCCATAATCATATGAGTAGACTTGACGTTGCCATTGCATTTCACATAGCCTTGTTTCCTAAAAGTTGTTCTCATCCAAGCAACAGTGGACTGAAGTTTCGAACTCGCATCGTCCATTGCAGAAAGAGGAGTTATGACACAACAGTTTTGGCAGAAGTGAAACTTATGAAACATAGATGAATAATATATTCAAATTTCGCGACATTTAATCAGAGATCCGGCGTGATCTGGCCAGTATTCTGACTCGGGAAGACTATCAAAAACTACAGTGCATGACTGACAGGAAAGCATGTAGCATCTCAATACGACAGGAAAATAAATTATGTAAGATTGGGATTATGTTTCAGCCCAAATTAAAGCCAGTGCGCCCAGTGAAAGTGGTTTCGGAGGTGAAAACATCTCATGATCAGCACGTCGATTGGACGAGTTTAGTGAATTTATCAACATTTTCTCAAAATTCCGAAATCAACACGAACCTGGAAAAAGGACTCTTCCAAATGACAGGAGCCGCCTGGGAGACATCCTGATGGAGGTTATCAATATCTCCGAAAAATTGCCTGATGAGACAAAACGGGAAATGTAAATGGAACAATTTCAAAGATCCTGATACATCACACACGGGAACAGAGTTGCCAGGATACGCAAGACCCTGAAAACGAAGGAACAATTAGACCTTTAGTCGGATAGAGGGGCAACAGTGATAATGGATAAAACGAATATACGGAAAAGATGCAATATATTATCGACGAGATAGGACTAGATATCGTAAACTAAAGTAGCACCCAACTATGAAGATCAATGGAATCCCAAGTGATATGCTAAAAAATATACATAGAAACGGGGAAATTGACACAGGAACAAAAGTCGAGTGATAAAAACAAGTAAGCGGTTGTAATAAGGTAAAAGTAGGATATGAAGGTAAGTAGATGGATGGGCCAGGACAGAAAGATGAGTTATAACACAACTGTTTCGGCAGAAAGTTGGTCAAGTGATCGACTCCACATGTCTCTGACTCGTTGTAACTTGGTGTGGAGAGTGGCAAGACGCCCTGATGATGCCGACTACGATGTCGGGGAATCGTTTGAGAACTTACAAAGTTCACGGTCTGATGGCTTGAATTATGATAACCACTATGGCAGAGAACTTCGGACAAGATACATGCTAATAAGTCGCACTGACAACAAGACCAGGCTGTTAAAATGAGGTCATCATACTTCATACCAAATATCTGAGACCGACCACATCTATTCATAGGCATGCAGATGAAGTGAAAGAAAGGTTACATTCGAATACTCATTACTTGACTTCAGACAAATAGGTACTTGTGGAGGACAAGCAGGTGAGCCATTCATCTCGGTGCCTGGTTGCCTAAGGGGACATAAGGCCTGATAAATTGTGACATGACTTTGAATTTCGAAGGAAAAGTTGGTAGTAAGGAAGTCGTAATCTGGTATGTCCGGAAACCGAAGGAGCATTGGCGCGTAGGAAAGACTGTTGAAATGTGCGAACAAGTCCTCGGCTCACCGTCCTGCGACCCCGATGAAACTGTGCTAAGCTTTCGACTGTCCCGTGGTGACGGACGTCATCAGAACGGGGATCCATACTTTATGAAATTTGCAAAAATATACTAAACCCGGAGTAAAGGTGGCTAGCTACAACCCGAAACGCTTTTTAATGCACATAATTTCGCGATCTGAATGGGGCATTCCATGATTTGGTTGGCTACTTTAACCTTACTCTACATGCTTGCAAATGGGTGAAGTTACTTCCGGAAATGCGTTGGGTGGCAGCTGTTTCATTACACAACCAAACTAGTGTACGATTGTCTAAGGTTGAATCATGTTTGCCTTTGTCCTATCGTCTATTGTGTGTATGTAATGTTCATGTCATGGGAAGTGTGATAGTCTCAACTAGACTCGAGGCTAATTCAGCCTCCTTTTCATGTTCAGTGGCTCTTCCTGCACTCCTCCTCTCTCATTCTCCCTAAACTACAAATAGTCCTTACTCAGTTTTCTACACTCGTTCAGCTTATTAAAGACGTTGGTTGTTTTGTCAAGTTCTATACTCTCCCTAGTCATACTCGGACGTAACTCATCAGGAACAGGAGTTAGAAATGCCAAAAAAGCCTTTATTGATGACAATTATCTGTTGGGATTTCTTGTTAACAATTTCGACATACTAATTAATAGGGTGAAACGAAACCAATCTTAGATACAAAATAAGGAATTAGACAACTCTTCGTCCAGGTTCCTAAAGCCATCTTCCTAAAATCTTTAAAGAAAGACAGAAGTATAACTGAGAAAATGGACCGTCAAGACAATGTACAAAGAAATCGGAGGTGCATGAAAATGTGGTCACTACAGGACACCAGAGAGAATGGTCTAAGATCAGCTTGGCGGGATATGGGGACTTGACAGCTAAAGGAAAGATGAGTAAGGCAGTTGATTGAAATTGACAAAACTA